GGTTCATTGGAGAAGGCTCTTGAATATGAGACAGTTGCTTTTCAAGAGGAGTTTCATTTTTCCTTTTTCTTTCCCAAAGAATTGAGGGAGGAGGGCCCTGTGCTACTCATGAAGTTGTATTGGAAATAGTTGTTTGGAGCTTTGTCTCTGGAGAGCAGTTTACTCATTCTCTTGGTTAATCCCCAATTGTGAGCCATTACAATGTGGAAAATAAAGCACAGAGTTGGTGAAACACAGAGCTAAGCTGGCCCAAGGAGAGGGTACAGAGCATCATTTGAGAAAACAATTCGCCAAAACCTCGTTTGCTGGTTTTTTACTTCTTCTGTGTGGTTTTGGGATATGAAAGATACGCCAAGGAGGAAGAGGGATCCTTGACTTCCCTTCTTGAAACTTAGTTATTCAGTTTAGTAAAGCTAAGCATCCTGCTATAGAGAACTTCCAAAAGATTGAGGGACATGAAGCTAGGAGGGGTGGGAAGCATCAGGGAATGATGTCAAATTCCTCCCCAGGTGCCCATCACCAGGTGTATCTGAGAGCAGGCTGGCAACAATAACCATGGCAGGATGCTACCTTTGGGATTTGTGGAAGTGCGATAATGAGCAGTAGATAAAAGGTGTGGGACAGCTATTAGGCCCTGGGCTGCAGTGGGTGTGGTGCTGAATGCGAAATACTATTCCAGAATTCTTTCTTTGCTAGGGAACAAGTCAAGACTAAGACTTAAAGCCCTTTTCATAAACGGTAGCCAGGAATAAATGATTTGCCTTCTTTTTCTCTCACCGTTGCCTTCCTGCTGTCTTCTGTATTTCTCTTCTTGGAACACTAACACGTATACCTTCAATTAGTTTGAAAATTCTGTAACTTTCAGTCTCCCACCAGGATTAGACCTGCTAAGAGTAACTAGTGTTTTCTATCTGATAAATAAGGGGATTACAGCAATAACTGCTGTCAGCATTTTTCTCATTTAAACAAATAAAGCTGACAAATGATGAAGGTCTGTGCTGTTCTGTTATGTTTAGAACATGCAGAGCAATTATTCATCTGCTGCCAACATTAGTCTCCGTACAACCGAACCATCCAACAGCGTCGAAAGCTTATTAGCATATCAGTCCCATAGTCATATTTTTATATATTCTGTAAGACGCCAGTCCATTACAAAGGCTGATGGTTATAATTTACACAGTAATTTAAAGGGTTGGACTTTTCTGTGCTTATTAGAGTTACACAAGTCATCAGGTGCAGTGCTGCTCTTATTTATGAGATGTCACCTTCTGTGTGCCTGGGATCTTTGCTCCTCTGTAGTATTTCCCGTGAACAAGTTAGCTGCCATCTCTCGAGGTGGGGAAGTAGATGGCCATCCCTGCAATGCTGTTGGATGAACTTCAGCGGAGGGGTGTGGGCAGTGGTTTCCTTAAATAGAGCTACTTTCCCTGGATGTTTGGTCACGCTCACACGTGTGTGTGTGTGTGTGTGTGTGTGTGTATCACTAGACAGAGCTATAATGGAGATTTGAGAGAGAATATACTATTTAAAAAAATTTTTTATTCAATAGAATTATTTCTTGTTATGGTAGAGATAAGCATAATAGATCCACAATGGTCATGATTTTCCAAGAGGTCTCCTAGAGGGAATGATGTGATAAGACTGAAGACTTCATGTTAGAAGAAAGGTCTAATCCAGATAGTGTATTTGGCCAGACAGGGGTGGAGGTCATGTCACTTGTGGCCTTTTATTTTTATTTTTTTTTAATCTATTTAGCTATTTTGAGAGAGAGAGAGAAACAGCATGCACGTGTAGGTGCAAGTGGAGGAGGGACAGAGAGAGAGAGGTAGAGAGAGAATCCCAAGCAGGCTCCACGCTATCAGTGCTGAGCCTGATGTGGCGCTTGATCTCACCGACCTTAAGACCATGACCTGAACCGACATCAAAAGTCAGATGCTTAACCTACTGAGCCTCCCAGGCGCCCCACTTGTGGCCTTTGCAAGGAGCCTGCCACCCTGATGCAGCCTGCAGGAAAAATACACTGTGTTTGCAAATAGTTGGTTTATATTCGTTTGGCTGCTTCAATCTGATGGGAAAGCCCCTGTGAAGAACTTGTAACTGAGCTGTCCCAGTGTTGCAATTGTGACTTTAGCATTGTGTTTTCACCTGCAGTTAGTCTGAAGGAAGGGTTGCAGACTTCTGGACACGGGGTAAGGTAAGGTCGGACCTTCATGGTGATGGTCCGCGGTCTATGGTTTATGCTTCCCCAAAACAAATATGCAGCTGTCTGTTCATGTGTCCATGTTTAGTTTCTGTATGGGATGGACTGACATGTTGGGGTCTTACTCACCCTGGAGGGATGTCCTGCCAGAGGGGGCTGCCTGATTCCTGGAGAGGGCAGATAACTTGCCTGTAAGAGTGCCTTTTATATGCTAACAAACTATCCAGAGCCCAGACCCTGAGCTACTACTTTTATTAAGCTCTTACACTTCAGGGCAATATTCACTTATGCTCATTTCAGGACCAGCTACCTGACAACTGGGGACAGCCATTATGTTCCTGAGCCCACTGAAATGATTCAAACTAGACAATTTTACACCTGTTTACCAGGTCCCGTGTCTTCCCATGGAAACCACAATAAAGGCTCTTGCCCCCATTTTCCTGTGCCCCTTCTGCCTCCTAGCTTCCCCAGGTGGCCCTGCATGGTGTAATTTGCCTCTTGTTTCTGGGGGATTTGTGAGAGTAAATTGTTCCCCATCAGCTTGAACCCATTTCTGACCTCTCAAGCCTATAGAATGCTTCTCTGATGAGACCCCTGATTCCTAAATGGTAGGCATATTCTGTCTCCGCATGTCTCTGCACTGTGACAGAGTGTCTCTGACCTCTGGGTGCATTGATTTGATGTTCTGTCTCATCCCTTTCACTATTCAAAGTAGGGTCATCCACCGTTTGCCTCAAATAAAAGAGAAAAATATAACACAAGCCCTCATCCCTGCAGTCTCGTTCCTTAGTTTTGTTTATTTCACATTATTTTCGAATCCCCAGCATGGGCGGCCATCTCCGCTCTGCTTTCTGTCCTAACCATCCTGTTTTGTTCTCTGCTTCGTTTTTATTCTCCTTTTCTCTTCACCTCCCAACTCTGCCTCCTCCTCGCCCTCATCCTTCCACTCACACTTTTTGTTTCTTTAAGTGCGAAGACAAAAACACCACCATCAATAAAAACACCTGTAGGGCTTTTTTTTTCCTATTCCCTGTGCAACTCAGCTTTTGAGACCCTTGCATCTCTGCGGGGGCGGTGGGGGGGGGGGGGGGGGGGGGGAGAGTGTACTTTTGCACTTGGCACAAACAGGGAAACATAGATTATCAACTGTCATCAAGATGATTTTCTATGTGTGATACCTTCTAAAATGTGAGGAAGTATAACTCCAATTGTACGTGGTGATTTATGTGGTCATAAAACTCTCTCCATCACACGCCGTCAATAACATGTTATTGATTGGGTAGAAAGGAATGTCTCCCAAGCCTTGACTGATGGCACACCTCCGTTCTTGTTCTTTAAATCCTACCACCACCCAAGATAAAATCACATTCCACCTGCTCCATCAAGAGCCCCTGGTTCATTGGATTGTACTGATGATTCTGTCCCATGAATTCCTTTTGAACTTAAAGGAAAAAGCATAATTATGCACTTCTTGTTTCTTTAAATGTTCCCTGTGTTAGTCTTATTTCCATAATTAAGTATAAGTACCTAAAGTACAGGGACATAATTTTAATTTTTGAGAAGGATGTGCACGTGGTGCTGGTTTTGCTGTAAGACAGATCTAGGTTTAGACCCCAGATCTTCCATTAAGAGACTGTGTAACTGCAGACAAATGACTTCGTCTCTCTTAAGACGGTTCTTTTGTCTGCATAGTGGGGATGCCATAGTTCCTACCGCGTCGGTCTGTTGTGAAAATGTAGTGAGTGAGTAGGTTGAAGGCTTATATGATGCTAGTACATAAGTGCAATTCAATAGGCATGGTCTCTTTTTCTCCCACACTGCCTGTCCCAGAGAAAGGCACAGCCTCAGCATGTCCGGTGAACGGAGAGAGCTTGCTGACTGTCAGGGCTGCTGTCCTGCCCGTGATGATTGAACTGATATGGCTAGTGATGCGTGTCCCCTTTCATCCTTGGCACTCTATGCAAGGTGACTGTTCTTCCCAAAGAAAGAAAGGCCGATTGTCCTTGGCCAGAGGTTTGGAAGAAACTCACGCTCCCCAGTAAGAAGTACCAAGCACATTTTCTAACCCTTGGGAGGATGCAAAGCAATTAACAATGATAATAAATATTGAGAGGTGGCTGTCTTAGTTTTATCTTATTTTGCAGGGGTAGCCTTAGCTCCTCTTTCAATAAGAGCCTCTCCTTCCTTTACCTCCTCACACCATTGCTACAGTGGCCTTGCTGGGCTCACTCCTCAGGGCTTTGAGACCCACGTAGTTCAAATTGCCTGCATTGTATTTGTTGTCGGAAGCCTTTGAAGCCGAGGCAGGGCCCTTCCCTGGTTTCCCGGCCTGCTCACACACATTCACCGTTCCCTCTTTCTCCTGAGCCACACTGCTAGATCCTTGCCCACTGCCATACCCAGGGATAAGGCCATTTAGAACCACCTGGAACTACATCTCTGTGGTCTGTGTGCTGAGGCCTCGTTAGCCTCTAGAATCCCAGCAGTTAATTGTGGTACTGCATTCCTCACCGTAGGCTTTACACCAAGCAAGACAAAGAAAAAGCATCAATTCGAGTTACTGTGAAAATTATTGTATGGTATTGGAGCCACATTGGCTGGTAATACTTTGTACTCATTCTTTCTAGCTTACTCAGCTGTTGGAATTTAATTAGCAGCAATATACTATTGTCAGAGTAATTAAAACCTCGCCTTGATTAAAAACAGAATTGTTTAATTAACAAGAGAAGGTTTGGCTATCCTTAACTTTTGGTTTGAAAAATACAGCAGCCTCAGTTGATTTGCTCTGTCTCCCCATCAGGCTTGAAGGTCCGGGAGGTGTTTATCAACGTCACCAGGCAGCAGGTAGAGGACTTCCACGGGCCAGAGGACTACTGGTGCCAGTGTGTGGCATGGAGCCACCTGGGGACCTCCAAAAGCAGGAAGGCCTCTGTGCGCATAGCTTGTGAGTACATTCTGGGTGATGTTCTTGTCTGGTGTGAACACGGGCCAGAGTTCATCGGAGCTGAAGAGGGGGCTTTGGAGGGGCCAGGTGCTTCTGCGGAATATCGATCAGAGGACACCCAGGGGGCATCACAACTGTCTCTGTCTCTACCAAATTTACTCTTTAAAGTTCTGTTTTAAATGTTGAAAATTGCCTCTGGAGTACAATCCGCAAATCAGGTTGGCTCCGAGATTCTGCCGAGATTGTCAGATCGCAGGTGTCTTGACAATGCCGGGGGTGGGGAGGGGAACGGTTCCTGAGAGAAAGAAACCCGCGTAAATGGGTTCTACTATTCGTTATCAATGACAAAGTTCAAGGGGGCATTGATGGGAAAAGGTGAGCAGTGACTATTTACTGCACTTTCCAGCAGATCTGCAAAAATAAGACATTAGAGATTAAGGGATTTGTAATAGCCTGCTGTTCAGCCTCTTGCTTCTGTATCTTAAAACATGGAAATGGGCTTTAAAACTGCATTTGTTTGACCCACGTAGAACTCCAAAAAAGAAAAAGGGGGGTGGGGGAAGAAGAAGAAAATTGCTTTTCAGGTGAGTCCAAGAGGTTTTTATCATATTTCAGCATCAATGTTTTCATCATCTCAAACAGACTTAGAAGGACAGAAACTTCCTTCCTCCTCCCTTAAAATGTCTTCATTCCCCTACCACCATTATCCCACCGTGATGGTCCCCATAAAATCTCTTTTGTGAGCCCAGGAGTGTAAAAGCTCCTCCAGAAAGAAATTGAGAGAAGGAGGACAGACTTGGTTATTGTTGTTTTATTCAAATGCTGCCTTTTGAGAGTGCCATAAAGAATACGGGACAAGGGGGATTTATTTGAGGACTCAAGGAATTCATAGCAGATGTCGATGGTTTTAGGGATTGAGAATAGGAATGAATTGCTATTTGCAGAGACATTTATGTTTCTTGGGAAATGAAATCTTCTTCTCAAAATACGCATTTCACCTTCACTCTCCTGGCAATTTGAGAGGCCCTCTCCTGCCTGTTGACTGGGCCCTAGTAGGCCAAGGAGAAGAGGTCATTTTGTAAGCTGTGCTCTTTGATGTAAGAGCCATGGGAAACCGTTGTCCTGTAGTTATTTAGTTAATTTTAGCCAACAAATACTTTTTGACTCTAAAGTAGCAGGTCATCTGACAGAGGGGATATGTTTGGTTTTACCTTAACACAACCAGCTCTGTGATCCCTGCCCGGCTTCGGCTAGGCTAGTCGGCGCATTTGACCCTTGTCAGGGTCAAATTTCCCAGTCTCTCTCTGGGAAAAAAAGAGAGAACAAGCAGCACAGGGATTTCAACATGGCCTTCCTCAATTTGTGGCTTTTCCACATCACTTTTCCTGTTCCTCCTCTTCCTCTATGTCTCTGAGGTCCAGGTGACCTATTCTGTGATTTATTATAAATAACGTCACACTAATCTGTCACCTCCAATCTCTCTCACCTCCATACTTGCTCATTTAATTTCTGATTGTCACCTGCTTGCTAGAAAGCTCCGGGTTTTCCCCTGGCTTACAAAGTTTAGCAAAGAATGGCTCCCAACTCACCTTTGTTCATTTCCCATAACCTTCGATCATGTGCGCTATATCCTTCCAAGCCATTGGCTGTTCTGCAAATCACTGTCGCTTCTCTGACATGTGCCTGTGCTCCTGCAGTTTCCGCTTTGACCATGTGGACCATGGTGGTTAAGATCCCAGGAGACACGGCAGCCTTGCTGGTCGCTGGTTCCAGCTCTACTCCTTAGTTTTGTGATGGCGGACAGTTTACGCATCTCTCTGTGTCTTCATGTCTCCAGTGATGAAAGGGTGCCTACTTCATAGAATTATCACAAGACTTACAGGGACTGATAACTAGAAAGTATTTCAGATTGTACCTGGCACAGAGTTAGGCTTATCAGTCATGAGCTATTTGAGCCTCCATAGAACCAGCATCACTCTTTCGGAGGCGTGTTAATACTTACTAAAACTAATTGCACTGAATTAAAATTGTAGCGCCTCAGTCAATTTTATGCAGATCATGGCTAATACAGTCTCTTAAAAATCCATGCTAGGGCAGCCCTAGGATCTAACTCTTCCAAGCATGATAGGATCAAAGGATGTTACAAATGGAGAAACCTTTTCCATCATTTCTTAACTTTTTTAGAGGCATCTGATACTTTTGTGGTAACAATTACCAATCTCTTCAGGGTTCAAAACATCGTTTTGACATTCTTGCATATGATATGCACATATGAATGTGATGAAGATGTGATTTTTAAGTAAAAAAATTACCATTAAACCCTATATTATGCAATTAATGGTATCTCCTATATTTGTAACATATTTTTAGTTTCCTCCTATGTCGCAAGTGACAGATTTTTTAATTGATTTAAAATTATTTATGCAAGTCAAGACATGGTTCGTCATTAAATATTGCATTTGACTTGGGGACCAGTGTACATTAAAATGTAAATTGAAATTTAACTATGTTTAATGCCATTAAGCATCAAAAGTGGAGGGAAAAAAACTGCCTTTAGGACCTTGCTTGAAATTCTTTTCATTTGCTTGTAGGAAAAGAAAAAAAAAGCACTTTTTTTTTTTAATAACTTTCATGTTTTGTTGAAATAAGATTTCTGGCTGCTATTTGCAAGTACTTCCCAGCAAATAACACATTGCACATGAGGATAGTCTTTATTCCCAATAAATGAAAAGCCAAATTGGATATAATTGTCACTATGTTTCTCCTTTTTGAGATTGGTATTTGAAGTACTAAAGACATCTTAATGTGCTAAATAAGGATTTTGATAGATGAATGTAGCTTATGAATCTGATGACAATTGTCTTGAGGGGACTTTGCAAAATTAGTATCATTTTTATATTATTCATTAAATTATTGTAGTTCAACATCAGAGCTCCTTATGCTTCCTACATTTAGCCAGTGATGCATTAAGAATTTAACAATTTTGAAACCACAGCCAGCAGACCTTCCCTGGCAGCTGGCGCCTCCCACCAAGGGGTGTATGTATCGACTGCGGTGACTTGACATGATCGCAGTAGGTAATCACTGGCATGATATCACCTCGACATCGTTCAACTTTAAAGGGAAACGGGATAGATCAAGTACTTTATTTATTTAACTTGTATTTTTCTTGACACGGCCCCACCCGCATTTTCGGTTAGATATGCAGATGCCTGGCTTCCACCCCAGGCCTGTTGGGTCAGATTCTGACCCATGACTCAGTAAGTCCGGTGCAAGGTCTGAGGTTCTATTATTTTCAAGAGCTCCTAGATGATGCTGATGTTGCCAGCCGGTCTGTGGGCCATCCATGGAGTAGCAAGACCATAAAAACAAACAAAGGAACAGAACGTTTATGACACACGATTTGGGAAATACTGATTTAACCCATTCATCCAGCGTCATCATTTGATAGCTGAATAAATGATGTTCAGAAGGGTTAGGTGGCTTGACCACAGGTCACCCAGCAGATGGTGCTTTGCTACTAAACCTTGTTGACTCCTTTCTATCAACTGGAATTTGAGAACCGTCCTAGCAAGAAAGGTTCACGTGCACGTAAGTTGTTTCCTTGAGGGAAGCAGTGATTGCTTTTCCATTCCGTTGCTGAGGAAATTCCTACTCATGGTGAAGTTCCTGCATATGTTGAATATATTTCAGTGCGTATAAGTTACACACGTTGTACGTGTATGTACATGAAGTCAAACGCATCGCTGCCTTCGTGTCCAAAAACCAGTATGGGCTTTGTTTTAGTAACCAAAGTGCCTGTCATCTTAAACTATTGTCTTCTCCTTAATAATTCCACAGTGTGTCAGACAGATGTTGGCCGCCTTCCAAATGCCCGGGGCTGGAAATAGCCGAGGCCCCGTCTCAAAAACGATTTTCTAAAGGTAAAAATAAATAAATAAAGCCAACCCACACGTACCGCCACCAGGTTGGCAGAAGCCCGTCTCCAGGGAGGGACTCCCACAGGCCTTCTCTTGTTTGTCTGATTCTATCCAGCTGGAGGTGGTCGGGCCGCTGTAGCATCTGTTGGTTCTGCTGCTGGATGGTTGTCAAAACCAGGAATATTCAATTATTCGGGGTTGTTTATTTTCATGTGTGAACATTTGGCTGCTTAGCTATTGCTTTTCTTTCCCGCTTTTCTCCCTCTTCTTCATCTGCTTACACAGTGTTTTGCCTGTATCATTAACCCTTGGTCGATCACTCGCTTCTTGAGACTTGGGCCTTTTTTCCCAGTAGAAGATCTGGGGCTGGAGAGATGGGAGCCTGTGCTTGTTAGAGTCACATAGCAAGTTGGCCGCTTAGAATGAAACACAGCAGGAAACCACTGTTTGCTCGATTTATTTTACTTCAGTTTTTCATTTTTTTTTATGTTTATTTATTTTTCAGGGAGAGCTAGAGAGAGCATGAGAGACAGATAGAGGGAGACACAGAGGAGGCTCCAGGCTCTGAGCTGTCAGCACAGAGCCTGACATAGGGCTCGAACTCCTGGACCATGAGATCATGCGTGACCTGAGCTGAAGTCGGACGCTCAACCCACTGAGCCACCCAGGCGCCCCTTTGTTGATTTTTTTTTAAAGAAAAGATCTATAAAGTATACAGCCTGAATATCATTTAAATAGGCTGCTTTTTTGAGGCACGCCTAAAATACCTTTGCAGTTGTGCCAAGAATGAGTGAAGAGTTTAAAGGAGAACCTCATTTAAAAGCTATGAAATTCTCTACCTCATTTTCCAGGCACACATTAAAACAGTATTATTTTTATTTGTTTCTTTTTGGAGGGTAGTGGTATCTTTTTTAAAACTATAGAAGAGAGACATCCAATTAAGCCTCCATTATGGATCTCAGCTTCATGGCTCTGATAAATAACTTCACCTGCTAAAAACTGCCGATGACCCCCTCCTGACAGCAAATTAAATAATAAGAATAAATGTAGGCACATCTGCCTGATATTCAAATGCAGCCT